AGATAGTCGGATGACCTTGCACGCCAGGGCCTCAAGTGGAATCCGGATGGGAAACGACGAGTGAGTAGCCCTAGGGTGGCATGGAGGAGGTCATGCGAGTAGGAGATAGGAAAGTGTGGGCAACCGTGGGGTCAACTAAAGTAGACCGGAGAGAGTAGGTCTAAGTGGATATGTGTTGTGGAGGGCCTATTTTCCATTCGGAACACAAGGGATATATATATATATATATATATATGGTTATATAGGATGCTATGGGCATGGTATTGTTTATCTCTGGTTGATATTTTGTACACACCAAGATTTATAGGAGTACTTACGAACTTTGGAGTATTGAACATTGTTCTAGCTGTAGGTATTCCCAACAAATTAGTAATAATCTGTAAAGAAACGTAACTTTTTAAGTATCAATATCAATACAGGGGCTTATAATTAGAAAGATAGAATAATAGAGACAAGGAATCAATAATGTTTTTTTCTTGCTATGGAGAATACTGCTGTTGAATAAACTGATGACAATCTTAAAGTGGTTGTTTTTCAAATACTACATTCTTAAGAGTTAGGCTGTAACAGTTCAAGTGATTTCAAGGTAAACTTTGATACGAATTGACATGAATTAGCGAACCATTGAAAGCCAGGAAGCACTGAGAAGTGACTCTTTCTGGTTTAAGAGTCTGCAGTAGTGTGCACCCACAACCCCATCAGAAATCGAATCCAAGACCTTCAGGCTAAGAGGCGAGTCCACTGATCATTCAGACACCAGGTTGCAATTTGATGACTTATGGTTTCTGGTTTTCACATTCTTGAAAGATACCAAAAGAGGACAAAAGAGTTGTTCAATGCTTTCTGATCTCAAGTAGTCCTCTAATTGATTCCAATCCGTGATAAAATTTACCTTGAAGTATTGGATTACGTCATTTTTTAAAAGTGATTATATTGCTAAAACAATAATTTCTCATGATCATAAATATTGTCTTTTTTCCTTCATATTCGAAGGTCACACCAACTTTTACTTTTCTTAACAAGAATGAGTTATTTCGAAACAGCAATACACCTAAAAACTTCTTCATCAACACAATGACTCTTAAGTCACGAATGAAGCAAGAGCAAAAAATTAGAGATTTACACCGCTGGCTTAACAAAGATGGCATAATTTAAAAATTATCGCCTACGTTAAGAAAATGTTGAGACCTGTATTGGGGGGAAAGCAGTCATCAATGAAACTACCGAATAAATACTTGGTGACGAGTATAAAAGCGTAGACGAAGTGTGGTAAAGATTATTAAGTGAGAATGAAGTGTATCATATTTGGTCTGTATTGAGACATTTTTAATACATTCAACGTGAAACTTTGTTTTATCGAAATGACTCAAAAAAGTATTGCGCAAGTAACTTTGTTAATCTATATGAACATAATACACTACCACATGAGTCTTCATCTATGACAAATCAATATACACATATTCCTCCGGATTCTATAGATTGTAGTAACTACAGTAACACATGTGAATCAGGTAGCAGAAACGTTACTTTCCAAACATTGCATCCAGTAATGGTAAAATACTACAACAGCAGACCGGAACTTTAATTTGTACTAAGTAATCGAGTTTAGAATCTTTTCCCTCCATCATATCCTTCTACATGCTTCGAAAATTTATTCATTCTCCCTCTTGTACGAACTGGCTTACTTTGTAACGATAGAAGACAAGGGCCAGACAACGTATCATTTACTGAGAAAACCAACAGATATTTATGTACATTATCATTCGTTACTTTAGCAGAGAAGCAACATCTTCAGATTGATTTTACTTGCTGAAGGTTATTCTGTACTGCTTGTGACCGTTGCTTATAAGTTATTTAAATCTCTGCGAATCGCTAAGTCTGCTGTGATTAATTGTTGTGTTCCTTAAGGTAAGGCGTTGTTCTTGTTTTTCTCATGACCCCGATTCGGGAAGTAAACATTGGCGTTAACTGTTCTCTACAATTTTGTTTTGCAAACAGCCCTCACAACAACCTTACTAGCTAGCTAGGTTGACACCAGATCCCATGGAAAAGAAAAGAGGGAGGATTGGTCAAGGAGCAAGCGCTCCTACCGCACAAAACCAATCGAATTGCTACAAAAACTTCAACAAACAAAAAATAAAACAAACACACTTTGCCAGATTCCGAGAGGCAGGGTGACGCGATCTGGTTAAAGTTTTAGTGAGTCGAAAGCAGAGAGGTAGAATGCTCGCCAACCACGCCTCATGTGGTTCTGAGTTCAGTCCCCGGCCGACGCGCTCCTTTACCTCGCTAAGCTATTAACAAGGCTGGTAAAGAGGAAACGATGGGCAAGAGGCTAGCAAGCCATCCCTTAAATATAAACACCACTGCTACCGAAAGTTCAAGCCTCTGGCATGAAGCCTTATGCTTCACTGGGGATGTAAAGGAATAAGAAAGAAAGGTTGAAGTCTTCGGAAAGCCAGTCAGCCAATGTGTCTTCTCTCGATGAAAGCAAATCAGGAATGCGGACGTGAGATGTCCGTACAACGTACAAATTGGGAAGACTGCCCATGCAGCCAACGAAATGGGAAAATATGGCATAAAAGTGCTGGGTATCTGCAAAAGCAGAAGAAATGGATGTGGATTATCCTAATTGTCAACTGGAGAGTTAGTAATCTACTCCGGTCACCTACGCAGACGACGACCACGAACACACTGAGGGAGTGTTACCATGATGTCACCAGCGTCAGTCAAAGCTCTCATGCAGTGGGAACCAATCTCCTCCAGGATAATGACAGCCAGGTTCAACTCAAAAGGAAGAAAGGTGTCAACCATCCAATGCTACGTACCTACATACAACTCGGAACAAGAGAAGACAACTACTAACAGTAATGGACAACATCCCGAAATGGAGACATCAAAGTACTTATGGGTAGTATGAATATACAAGCCAAACCGGGAGCAGATAATACGGGAAGAGAACTCACCATGGGTCGAGAGGCTCTCGGAGAAATGAATGACAAAGGAGAACTCTTCGCAGACTTCTGCACCTTCAATGATTTGGTGATTGGTGGCAGTGTGTTCAAACACAAGGATATGCACAAGGCAGCATGGATTTCGCCTGATGGACACACCGAAAACCACATGGACTTCATCTCAATGCTGTTCAAGAAATGGAGATGCAGTCTGCTGGACACAAAGTCGAGAAGGGGAGTGGATATGGGCTCAGACCACTATCCAGTTCAAGGAACCTTCAAGGTCAGACTGAAAGCCTTCAAAGCAACTGGAGACAGACCACAGTTCAACACTCAGAAACTGAAAGATGAAACTACAAAAGATACCTTCACTGCAGCCATCAGAACAAAGTCGGAGACACTACTACGTGGCATCCCTGAGGAAATCTGAGTGGAAGAACAGTGGAACTCTATGGAGGTAACGTTCTAGGAAACGTGTACAACAGTTCTAGGAAGAAAGAAGAGGGAAGACAAGGAATGGCTTTCAACGGGTGCCTGGGATTTAATAGAAGAGAGGAGGATGGTGAAAGAGAAGTTGGGTTCAATGTACATCGCACTGGATAAGGAAGTGGAGACGAGTGCTAGGAAAGACAAAAGACACACTGGAAATTGCAGTAGAACAGGTCGCAGGTGAAAGATACCTCAGAATATCACACCAGATAACCAGGTCTCTATCCAAGAAAAGATAAAAAAGTTGAAACCTATGAAAGATGGTCGAGGAAACCTAATTTCCAAAGTCGAGAGGCAAACAAAACAATGGGCTGACCACTTTAAAGCACTCTTGAATCAACCATCACCTGCAGCCCTCCAAGAAATACCACCACCACCGACAGCACGCACAGAACTGTCTGCCAGTGGACACCGATTCTCCAACAGAGACAGAAATCTTGAATGCAATCCAGCCACTGAAGGCCGAGAAGGCAGCAAGACCAGACGCAACCGCTCCTGTAGAACTGAAAACGGACCCAGAGACTGCAGCAGATGTGCTCACACCGTTACTGCAAACGGTTTGGAGAGATGCAAATGTTATAACTGCACTGAATTAAGGTAAAACCCCGTCGCCAATTTGTTATAACTGAAATGAAGACGTTTTCACCTTATTCTGTCTGTTATAACAAATTGGCGACGGGGATTTACTTTAATTCATCGCAGTTATAGCAAGCAAACGACGACAGTTTTTATTCTGTTCAGCGCAACTATATAACATTTTTGACTGTGTTAATTACAACCCAATTACAATGTCTATCTCTCTGGACGATCTCAAATCTATCTTGCAGCAGCAGCAAGTTCAGAATGAAGCAGCTCAACTAAAATTAATCGAAGCTCTCACTCAGAAGCTGTCCATTCAAGTGCCATCAACATCTCATTCTGACATATATGAAAGCACCTCAATACACAGTCATAGTCCAGCCTTTGTCTTTTGATATTTGCGTGCTTTACTAAGTCGGAAGGTACGACGAGCAGATAGACAGATTAGTTCAGGCGCAAACAGAATAAGGTGAAAACGTCTTTATTTCAATTCCCCACAGTTATAACAGCATAGGTGTCCACCGATTGGAAGAAAGGCTGGCTACCTTATCAAGCTACCAAAGAAGGCCGACCTAGGCCTCTGCACGGAATGGAATGGCGTGGAATAATCCTCTTGTTCACGCCAGGCAAAATACTAAGTCGCATCTCGGAGAGACTAAAACATGCACTGGATGCAGATCTCCGCCAACCGAAACAAGCTGGATTCAGGAAAGGCAAATCGTGTGCTGATCAAATTGCAACTCTGTGCATCATCATCATCGGACAAAGCAGAGAACAGCAGTCAAACCTCCACCCCAACTTCATCGACTTCGACAACGTTGACCGAGAGGTAATTTGGAAACTACTTCAACACTACGCGTACCTCAAGTCTTTATCAACCTCATGCAACAGCTATATCACAATGACACGTGTCAGGCGATCCACAACAGAAAACTCAGCGAAGGCTTTGAAGTGAATGCAGGAGTAAAACATACTGGCCGCCTATTATCACCAATGATATTCCTAATTGTGGTGGATTGAACCAGGCGTCATACTCTGCGTGGGGAGTGAGAAGACAGGAATACACTGGGTGAGTATAAAGACTCTAGAAGATCTGCATTTAGCAGATGATTTATGTCACACAGACTCGAAGACTTACAGGCGAAAACGAACAAACTATCAGAAGAAGCAGCGACAACAAGACTCCAGGTGAACATAAAGAAGACGGAGGTGATGAAGATAACCAACGAACCGCAAAAACCTTCACCAGTTACCATCAACGGGAGAAATTTAACCGAGGTCACCTCCTCCACTTATCTGGCCAGAAAGTGCGGTCGGAACGTATGAAGATGTCAAAGTCAGCCAGAATCGGAAGGGCAAGATACACCTTCATCAATCTGTAACCAATTCGGAAATTTCCTGCACTCAGCATAAACAACAAGATTCACATTTTAAACACCAATGGGAAGTCAGTCAGTGCTCCTATATGGGTCAGAAACCTGCACTGCGTGTCACGAAAAGCATTTCCATCAGGTTACAGACTTTTACCAACAGCTGCCTTCGCTCCACACTGAATATCAAATGACCGGTCAAAAAGAAACAGCCACAAGAAACTCTGGCGATGAACAAATCAACCAAGAGTCGATCGCTCAACAAATATGTGGGAGAAAAATGGAGATGGGTCGGGTATACTTTGAGGAGATAGTCGGATGACCTTGCACGCCAGGGCCTCAAGTGGAATCCGGATGGGAAACGACGAGTGAGTAGCCCTAGGGTGGCATGGAGGAGGTCATGCGAGTAGGAGATAGGAAAGTGTGGGCAACCGTGGGGTCAACTAAAGTAGACCGCAGAGAATAGGGCTGAGTTGAGATATGGCGTGGAAGGAGTATTTCATACTGGAAACGATAGGGTGGAATAATAATTGATTTTCCCCGGGAAATGTGGCCATGTGGTATTGAATCCGCTTACAAATGACTTCGAAAAATATTATCATTGTCAGTTTCGTTTCTGAGTTGACCATAGGACGTCAACAGCACATCTCTATGTAGCTCTGTCCTGTGTAGTCCTTTTTTAGCTGGCTACACAATCGCCATAAGCTCCAGTTTTACCATACACGGTCTTTACCATTTCACAGTGAAACTTCCAACGTATCATTTCTCATTCGGTTCTACTGGAGGATTTGGAGTTTGATGTCAGGGAGTTGTTGTCTCAGAGTATGTCTAATTCAATCCCGTTCGCTATAGGTTTTTGGTTGCCAAAGTTCCTTGCGCCTATGCTTTCTTGCCACCTGATCTTCAGGACAGAGCTAAGACAGTTGTTGACGAAAGTCTGCGGCCTGTTGAAAGTGCTACTGGTGACGCGCTAAGTACCTGGATCATATAGAGGAAATTTCTGGACATTAGTGTTGAAGATGTAGATCTTGTTTCTTGTTACAATCATGGCAGGTTTGTCCAATGATTTCAGAGTAACGAAAGTCCGTTTCGCTGTTCTTGTTCCGGCTGGCTTTGACAACCTAATCCATGTTACTCGTAGTTGAAAAAATAATTTCTAGATAAGTGAAAGAGACCACTTCCTGTAGATTTCTCGCACCGATGGCGATTGGTGCTTCGTGTTGTTGGTTAGATATCTTCATCACCTGTCTTTTACATGTTAACTTTAAGTCCAGTTTTTGCTGCCTGCCTCTTCTGTCAACTTGTTGGTTTGAGCTTAGATATGTTCACATTTTTGTGATATCAGACACGCATCTTCCAGTATCTTCGTCAGTCCAACGAATGTTCATCTTGTCCCACAATATACTACTCACAACTCCTATTTAGTAGCACATAACAAACTGTTACCACACTTTCACTTTCACGCTGTTTAGAATGAGCTGTTAGTGAACTAATATATTTTTTAATGTCATAAAGTTTTATTATCTTTCCAAAAATATACCTTGAGTATTAAGTTGCCAAGTTTTTTTGAGTTTTGCAATTGCAGTAGCAGTTTTTGAGGCGAATTGGCATATTCAAGAATAGCAATGCTTCCTCTAATAGATTCTGAAATCCTGAAAATAATTTAATTTAGAAGGCATAATATGAACTAAATCACTTGTCTTAATTAAACGTGTTATTATTTAACTACTAATGCAAATGTGAACAGAATAGTTGATTCAATAATGACTGATGTCAGTATCCCAGTGAAAATATGTTTCGAGGAGGAAGGGGGACGAGCTACGCAGACCAACATTTCCTGACTGACTTATGGCTTTTGAGTTACTTCTGTTGACAATTTATTACCTATTAAACAGTTTACGCTTAAATCATATAGGTGATACTTTTTGCGGGTAAACCAAAATTTAAAGAGCGGTACATAGCATGTTTATTGAAGAGGAGTTCCTCTGTATTCTGATATGCATTCAGTGGGAGCTTTTACATGTGTAGTAGAATTTCTTATGAGGAGCTGCCATTCAGATACACAACCATCCAGTTCGGTCGATTGGCCAAATAGTACTTGCGCAATTCAGTTTTACCAACCAAATACTTAGTGCATAACAGAACAACAGTAATTCTTAGAGTCACAACAAAATGCATTCAAATTCAGATTTGGAAAAAAATGAGATGACTTCATATTTTGGAACGTTATTTCCCCGTTGAATATTCAGATTTGTATTAACAGGATACACACTCTACCAAACAACTAGGAACCTTTCGGGCAAACGTTCGACACAGATTAAGCCAATAAAGGACGACAATGGAAAGTCAATCACCAAAGAGGTGGAACAGAGAAAGCACTGGGTTGAACACTTCAAAAGACTTCTAAATCGTCCGCCACCTACAACACGTCCAGCAATACCAACAACGGAAGCAGAACTACCAGTGAACACTGACCCCCCGACGAAATCAGAAGTCCTGAATGCAATCAAGATGCTTAAAGCTGGGAAAACACCGGGACCAGATGGAATCCCAGCAGAGGCTTTGAAAATAGACCCAGAGACAACAGCGGACTTGATGACACCACTGCTGGAGAAGGTGTGGAAAGAGGGCAAAGTACCCGAGGATTGGAAGAACAGTTACTTATTCAAACTTCCAAAGAAAGGAGACTTAAGTCAATGTAAAAACTGGCGTGGAATTATGCTTCTGTCCATTCCAAGCAAGATACTAAGTCGCATCATCCTGGAGAGAATCAAACAAGCCCTAGATGAAAAACTTCGTCCGGAACAGGCTGGATTCAGGAGAAACAAATCATGTATTGATCAAATCGCCACTCTACGGATCATCATTGAACAAAGCTTGGAATGGCAGTCACCTCTCTATCTCAACTTCATCGACTTTAAAAAGGCCTTCGACAGCGTCGATCGAGAGGTCATTTGGAAACTACTTCGCTACTACGGGGTCCCATCGACAATTATACACCTCATCCAACAGTTATACGACAATGCTGCATGCCAAGTAATCCACAACGGGAAACTTACGGAAGCCTTCGAAGTGAGGACGGGAGTGAGGCAAGGCTGTCTACTATCACCAATGATCTTCCTGATTGCAATTGATTGGATAATGCGACAGACAACGGCAACCAACGAGGGAACAGGCATAAAATGGACTGACACAAAAGACTTGGAGGATCTGGATTTCGCCGATGATATATGTCTGATTTCCCATAAACTGGAAGATATGCAAGTGAAAAGTAACAAGTTGGCAGAAGAAGCATCAAAGATAGGACTTCACGTGAACATAGATAAAACAGAGATAATGAAGATTCCTAGCCAACATCAACAGCAACAACAACAACAGACAACAATAAGCATAAATGGGAAGAACCTGAAAGAAACAACCTCCTTCACCTACCTGGGAAGCATCGTCTCAACTACAGGCGGAACTGACGAGGACATCAAAGCCAGAATCGGAAAAGCAAGACAAGCTTTCATTACTCTCAAATCTGTGTGGAGGTCAACAGCAATCAGCATCAAAAATAAGATCCGGATTTTCAACTCCAATGTGAAGTCAGTGCTACTATACGGATCAGAGACTTGGCGAGTCATAAAGAGCATCTCAAACAAACTTCAAACCTTCATTAACAACTGTCTCCGCTCAATACTCAAGATCAGATGGCCAGAAAAGATCAGCAACAGGGATCTCTGGGAGCGAACCAATCAGGAACCGATTGTGAAACAAATAGGCAGAAAGAAATGGAGATGGATTGGCCATACGCTGAGGAAACCATCAAGTGACATCACTAGACAAGCCCTCGAGTGGAACCCGAAAGGGAGGCGGCGAGTTGGTCGTCCAAGGGTGACTTGGAGGAGGTCATGCGAGGAGGAGATGAAAGCATGTGGACAGACCTGGAGCAGGGTGAAAAAGTTGTCAGAAAACCGAAGTCAATGGAGGTGCGCAGCTGAAGCCCTATGTTCCTCTAGGAACTAAAGGATACAATAATAATATAATAATAATAATCATTTGTTCATATATATGCAGAGTGCTGTACAAAGATGTCATACTGGAAAAGTTAAATCTGATGGGAATATTCCATTATAGATGAGATTTTATTTTGATAAATCAGTGTTATATAGTATAACACTGTAATTTATCAAAATAAAATCTCACTTATAATGGAGTTATACTCTCCCACAGTGCCCAAGTTTTATACTCATATTAATAACACTGATGGGAATATGACGAAAAATATATGTTCATATAATTTACTCATCTTTTTTAGATGTTAATAATAACATCTTTCAAACACTTCAAAACAAGATGAATGTAACCAACTAGCCTTATTAGGATTGCTATACACACAATGATCTTTAAACACCAGTCTCAGAAAAAATGCTTAGAAATTGAAAACAATAGATGGTTTATATTTGCAAACAAGAAAGTATTGACAAAAGGACCTTTTTGTGACAAGTACACTTCTGTGCAGCTTTTGTTGTTATGTTGGACACAGATGACTTAATTGTCCATCATCCTGCTTTAATTAATAATCTATCGAATACATCTTAACTAGTTTGTTTGACTAATTATGACTTCTAAGTCAATATATAAAGAATATTTACTTCAAAATCACTTTGATATGATTAAACTTCAACAAGTAAGATGTAGCAAAGAATGTAAACTTAGTCACACTGTGGTATTAGATGACCTGTGCTAAATAAATGTAATTTCCAAGGGTTGAAGAAAGTGCAAACACTATGTTTACGTTCCCAAACGTAGTGGTTGACATTTTTCGCAGGAAAGAGTATGAAAGGGTAGATCAGTTTTGATAGAACGCTTTACTCGGAATTAACGTTCAATCAGAATTCTTGAAAAAGTAAATTATGCAAATGAAGAAATTGGCGATTATGTAAACACGAAAATGGAGATTATTTGTATAGTTGAATGCACACGAAAACTACTAAGTACAGTTTAAACAATGAAGCTCAATGAATACCAATCAACTACTGTATTAGTAAAGAGTTTCAATGTGAGAGATACGATAATTCTCAGGTAATAGTAGTAGTTAGTTGGTTGATTACTACTTTTTTTACTGAAGTTATCTTGAAAGTTGAGATAGTACAGTGGAAATCATTGCAGACTTTAATGAAGAGATCCATTTGGGAAATATCAGCTTTTATTTTGAAAAGTGAATACATTTTCATCATGTACTTGTTTGTGCGTCGGTGGCACAGAGGTAGAATGCTCGCCAACCACGCCTCATGTCGTCCGGGGTCCAATCCCCCGCCGACGCGCTCCTTTACCTCGCTAAGCTATTAACAAGGCTGGTAAAGAGGAAACGATGGGCAAGAGGCTAGCAAGCCATCCCTTAAATATAAACACCACTGCTACCGAAAGTTCAAGCCTCTGGCATGAAGCCTTATGCTTCACTGGGGATGTAAAGGAATAAGAAAGAAAGGTTGAAGTCTTCGGAAAGCCAGTCAGCCAATGTGTCTTCTCTCGATGAAAGCAAATCAGGAATGCGGACGTGAGATGTCCGTACAACGTACAAATTGGGAAGACTGCCCATGCAGCCAACGAAATGGGAAAATATGGCATAAAAGTGCTGGGTATCTGCAAAAGCAGAAGAAATGGATGTGGATTATCCTAATTGTCAACTGGAGAGTCAGTAATCTACTCCGGTCACCTACGCAGACGACGACCACGAACACACTGAGGGAGTGTTACCATGATGTCACCAGCGTCAGTCAAAGCTCTCATGCAGTGGGAACCAATCTCCTCCAGGATAATGACAGCCAGGTTCAACTCAAAAGGAAGAAAGGTGTCAACCATCCAATGCTACGTACCTACATACAACTCGGAACAAGAGAAGACAACTACTAACAGTAATGGACAACATCCCGAAATGGAGACATCAAAGTACTTATGGGTAATATGAATATACAAGCCAAACCGGGAGCAGATAATACGGGAAGAGAACTCACCATGGGTCGAGAGGCTCTCGGAGAAATGAATGACAAAGGAGAACTCTTCGCAGACTTCTGCACCTTCAATGATTTGGTGATTGGTGGCAGTGTGTTCAAACACAAGGATATGCACAAGGCAGCATGGATTTCGCCTGATGGACACACCGAAAACCACATGGACTTCATCTCAATGCTGTTCAAGAAATGGAGATGCAGTCTGCTGGACACAAAGTCGAGAAGGGGAGTGGATATGGGCTCAGACCACTATCCAGTTCAAGGAACCTTCAAGGTCAGACTGAAAGCCTTCAAAGCAACTGGAGACAGACCACAGTTCAACACTCAGAAACTGAAAGATGAAACTACAAAAGATACCTTCACTGCAGCCATCAGAACAAAGTCGGAGACACTACTACGTGGCATCCCTGAGGAAATCTGAGTGGAAGAACAGTGGAACTCTATGGAGGTAACGTTCTAGGAAACGTGTACAACAGTTCTAGGAAGAAAGAAGAGGGAAGACAAGGAATGGCTCTCAACGGGTGCCTGGGATTTAATAGAAGAGAGGAGGATGGTGAAAGAGAAGACGACTCAATGCAAAGATGGACAACAGAAGAAGTTGGGTTCAATGTACATCGCACTGGATTAGGAAGTGGAGACGTGTGCTAAGAAGGACAAAAGACGATTCCACGACAACCTGGCCACTGAAGCTGAAAAGGCAGAAGGTAAAAGGGACCTGAGGACACTATATCAGATAACCAAGTCTCTATCCGGGAAGAGATCAACACAAGCGAAACCTATAAAAGACAGCCAAGGGAACCCAATTACCAAGGAAGAAAAACAGATTAAACAATGGGCGGATCCCTTCGAAGGACTCTTGAACCGACCATCACCTGCAACCCGTCCAGAAATACCAACAACAGCACGTAAACAACTGCAAGTTGACACCAATCCTCCAACGAGGGCTGAAGTCTTGAACGTAATCAAGCTTCTGAAAGCTGGAAAAGCAGCTGGACCAGATGGAATACCCCCTGAAGCACTAAAAGTGGACCCAGAAACGACAGCAGATATGCTGACTCCATCATTCCAAAAGGTGTGGAAGGAGGGAAAGGCGCCTACTGACTGGAGGAAAGGTTATCTCGTGAAACTACCAGAGAAGGGCGACTTACGCCTCACTCTGCAAGAACTGGCGTGGAATCATGCTCCTGTAGACACCAAGTAAAATCCTGAGTCGCATCGTCCTGGAGAGAATTAAGGACGCACTGGATACAGAACTCCGACCAGAACAAGCTGGGTTCAGGAAAGGCAAATCATGTTCTAACCAAATTGCAACTCTACGCATCATCATCGAACAAAGCATGGAATGGCAATCAAGCCTCTACCTCAACTTTATACACTTTGAGAGGGCCTTCGACAGCGTTGACCGTGAAGTAATTTGGAAACTACTCGAGCACTACGGCGTACCCTAAATATCCATCAACCTTATTCAACAGCTCTACGACAACGGCACATGTCAAGTGATCCACAACGGGAAAATCAGCGAGGCGTTTGGAGTAAACACAAGTGTCAGACAATGGTGCTTATTATCACTAATGATATTCCTAATTGTGGTGGACTGGATCATGCGTCAGACAGTGGGAAACGAGCAGACAGGGACATCCTGGACCGACATGAAGAACCTAGAAAACCTGGATTTCGCGCGTGGATGATTTATGTCTGATGTCACACAAAATCGAAGACTTATAAGCAAAAACCGACAAACTGGTCGAAGAAGCAGCAAAGACAGGACTCCAAGTGAACATAGACAAGACGGGGGTTATGAAAATAACCAACCAACAACAACAACAGCAACAACATCCAGCACCAATCACCATCAATGGGAGGGATTTGAAAGAGGTTACTTCATCCACTTATCTAGGGAGCATTGTCTCAACTACAGGAAGTCGGAACGGACGAGGATGTCAAATCGAGCGAGAATCGGGAAGGCGAAAAACACATTCATCAACCTGAAATCAATCTGGAAATCTTCGTCACTCAGCATCACCAACAAAATTCGGATTTTCAATACAAACTTCAAGTCAGTTCTTCTATACGGATCAGAAAGTTGGCGGGCGGGTCATAAAGAATATTTCCAACAGGTTGCAGACCTTCATCAACAACTGTCTTCTCTGAATCTATACTGAAGATCAGATGTCCGGAAAGAATCACCAACAAGAAACTATGGGAAGAAACAAAACAAGAATCAATTGCCCAACAAATATGCAGGAGAAAGTGGAGATGGATCGGACACTCGCTGAGGAGGCCACTGGGTGACATCGCGCATCAGGCCATTGCTCGAGTGGAATCCGAAAGGGAAGCGGCGAGTGGGACGTCCAAGGGTGAGTGACATGGAGGAGATCGTGTGAAGAGGAGTTGAAACAGTATGGACTAACATGGTTGCAGGTGAGAAGCACAGCAGAAGACAGAAGCAAGTGGAGACGTGCAGTCGAAGCCCTATGTTCCACTGGGAACCCAAGGGAACAATAATAAGTAATAATAAAGCCTTAGAGTGAATAAACCGTCGTCCGCCTAGGTGAATGCTACAGTGATATTCAGATAATTTAAAAGCTGCCGTCTGTGTGTGAACCTTAATCGACACGTAACAAAATTGTTCAGAAATTGATTTATTTCTCTACCCAGTGTCATATTGTGAAGTGATAGAATACTTTAGACGCTTTGTCTACTTGGAAGGTAGGATCCAAGCTATAAAACTTTATTTAGTCGAAATTAGCACACCGTAGTTAAGGTTTACTTGACACCTCACTTCAACTATAAGGAGAATGGGGATACTTCCTAAGCCTTTAAGTATTCAGTACTATTAGAGCCCCCTATTCCACCGAACAACTTAAAGACAATTCAATTTGATAAAATTGATAACAATGCTATGGAGAGAAAAAAAAACAAAAAATATTTGTATGAGGTAACACGAATTCTGCTGAGCAGAAACTAAACATGTTCAACAGCATTCTGCATAGTAAAATAATAAATGTGGTTGACGAGGTAAAAGTAAGTTCCATATCATTTAATTATTAAAATACATAAATGAAATGAATCTCAGAAACGGTAAGCTGGTCTGAAAAACTTCATTAAAGTAAATGAAGCATTAAGGATTAGATATTCTGAACGAATACAAACATTTGTATTTTATCCCGTAACATGGTTGAAAACTGTAATCAACTCAATTAAATAAATCTAAAAACTCAAATGTTCTGGAAATGAACATAGTTAGATAAATGTATCCTACTTCTAAATCATTTTGGAAATGAGACGATGATTTTGACTAAAGTTGTCTAAATAGGAAGTGTATTAACACAAACTGTAAATGTCTGTTTTATTTTGATTAATTAATTTATTTTTGATTGCATCTTGATCCCACACTGCATTTTCGGTACAAGTATGGAATTTTCAGCATGGATATCGGTAGCCCAAATTTTGCAGGCCGACCATTGATATCGGGTGTGCGTCGGCAGGGGATCGAACCTCGGACCGTGTGCATGGTCAGCGAGAGTCCTAACCACTGTGCCACCGGCGCATATTGCTATTATAATGTTCATTTTACAGGTAGGTGTGAAAGTTGAGGTACAAGTGCTCTGCTTTTCTACATGCAGTAGGGTTAATGGACATACAAGATAGTTAATCAAATAAGTGGTTATTTTACATGCTAAAGTAAACAACAAACACGTTTTATTCTACTACTAAGTATCCCATCTTTTACTGACAAAAAAGAAATCTAGGTAACCTAAGAAAAATATCGTTAAAAAAGGAACATAAACTAGGACACTGCCTTCTTCTATAACCAACAATATATATATATATATATATATATATATATATATATATATATATGATCAATACAAGTCTTTAATGAAAGAAAACGGTGACAAAATAGTGAAGACAGTTACCTGATCAATAAATTCAAACAGTGAGGTTTCAGAATTTCTTCAGAATCAAACAGCAGACACATTGTTGCATCACAACCTTGCAGTCGTAGTATATTGCGTAAACCTCTTTCCTCTTCACTTGATTTATTAATATAGAGAGGATTTTAATAAAAACTAACGCTATTAACAGCAGTAGTTTTAGTGCTTCTAGTTTATATTCATGTGTAAGAGATAAAGTTAGACAAGTGATAATTTTCTCGATGATAACTAATGGATAGATTTCATCAGGCGTTTTCAGTTGATATAGCAGATGGAATGCTTCTAAAAGCTTAATAAAATTTACAGAAAAGAAAAAAACCACGGAGAAAAAGTCAAAATATCCATGAAAAGTTATAAAATGAGACAATAAGAATGGTCTGGAGCTTACATTTTTCCGCACAGGATGTGTTACAGATCTATCAACTAACTGCAAGCCAATTTCACCTAAAGCAGGAAGAAACAGAATACCAGTCTAAACTTACTCACTGTAAGATTACCATTAATACCCCAAGATTTTGCTATACTTGTTAATTTTCTGATTTTTATATTTCTATCACTATAGCCGGAAACTTTATCGTTGTCACCCATCACTTAGAAGGTCGCGCGCTCCTTGAATAAGACGTGCTTTTCCTCTCTAACCGGAAATATCCAATTTTGTGAATTATTCGTTTGGGAAACCTGATCTTCCTACCCGGCGAATTTTATTCAACCATTTCTTCCTCACCGAGCCTGTGTGTGGTACTTCCCGCTGTCTCGAACTACTGCCAAAGCTTCAGGTGCTACTTCTGTAGCAACATCCTCCTCACTCTTTCAAATAAACAGGACTTGTGGGTCTGTTACGTGTTTGCTGTGAAGCCGAATAACCCGAAAGTTGCAGGTAAAGTCAAAAGCTTTTACTTACACACTTTATCCTTCTTTTCTGTGCTCTCTATTGTCTTTTGCTGTAAGTCTATTGGACAAAATAACAGTCTCTTATTATTTAATCACCAGTATTAATTTAGGAGTAAAATGACAATAGATTCTCACCCTAAAATAAGTAATGGGACATCATACTCTGTAGTCACCAGGGCTTCAGCCAAACTGGGCAAACAGGTGAAGCTGATGGACTCACGCATACCGGTCTTGAAGACCAGGGCTGATATTCCCAGCTCGTACAAATTACCTATGTCGCCACAGTCCTACAGTGAAGCTGTGCAAAGTCAGCCAAGTGGATGTGGCTCCACCCCTGTTAACATGACTAGGTTAACAGATCCGAGTGGGAAAATTGCACTAAGTGAGAACTGCATAACACCCATCCCCATGGTAGACCATGAAACAAATAGGAAGGCCAAAAAGAAACGTTCACGACGTCGCAAGACGACAAGAACGCTCCCCAAGAAGGCAGACGACTGCAAGGTCTGCGCTTCTGTTGTCGAACAAGCAGACTCTGCTTTCGAATGTAACTTTTGCAAGCGATGGGTGCATTGCAGATGCGACAATGGGGTACCAAAAGCATATTATGACTTTATGCGTAAAAACCCATGCCAATGGTTCTGGTACATATGCCCGAGTTGCCGTCCTGATGTAGCCTCGCGTAGTCCTTTGAAAACTAAAGATGGTGCAGAAGTAGCGGGGAAAAATATGAAATGTTCGACCAGCACCAATCCGGAAATTAGTACAAATGCGCGTAAACCGGGGATACCAAAATCCTCACCGGTTAAACCTGTAACTCTTGACATAACCGCTCCAGACACAGAGGCTGGAGAACCACGGGTTTCCGTCGTTGGAAAAAGACCCCTCTCGTCTGCCAGTAATATTGGCCACAGCACTGAGACACAAAAAAATACCCAGTCGCCAGACGAACCAAAACGGTCTTAAAGGTGATCACAAATGTGCGAGGACCGAGCCCAAGCCCACGGTTAGTAGATCAAATTGTGTAATCCTCTTTAATGTACCAGACTGTAGCAGTAGTCTGCTGAAAGATAGGGCCCTATTTGATCAGGAACAGTGGTCCATCTTGTGCAGCACACTGGGTTTGGACATCCAACCAGTAAATCTATGCAGATTGTATAGGGGCACTGCTGCACCTGAAGGCAAACCATCCCCACTGAGGGTAACATTGGGCTCTACTGAGGATGTTGAAAAAGTGTTACTGGCTTCTCAAGTCCTTTCTATAGGGAGGGCCTGTAACATACGCGTTAAGCCAGACAGGCCGTGGAAGGAAAGACAAATGGCGAGGGAGTCGCCAGAGCTCATTCCTTCTGCCTCCATGGTTGTGCATGGCATTCCCGAACTGGTAACTGGGAACGCCTGCGAAAAGCATTGTCATGATGTACAACAATGGAGATGGTTGGCATCCCAGATGGCCCTGGGGAGTTCAGGGGCTGTCTCTATTTATAGACTGCCTCGACCCACTCATCTTATGTCAATTAACTCGCCACGTCTGTTAGCTGTCAAGTTCAGCTCCCAAGACCAGTTGACTACCGCTCTCCATAGATGGTACGAGACCAAGGACAAGGTCAGCAAACACATTCGCTGCTGCGAGAGCCGGCCTCGCACTCAAAGGAGAGAACAAAGCGTAGTAAAAAAAATCCTCAACCCCTAGTCACACTACAGCGGTGCAGCACGGACGATGATAGCCAGTGTCATCCGAGTGCTCCGACTGAACTAGAAGAAAAAAACGCCAACAGGCCGGTTCCTGGGGAATCGGCCAACTAGTTCGTAGGATAACTCCTCAACCGATAGCCAATATCAAGTCAACTACCCCCCAATACGGGGAAGTGGTGAGACTGACTACCAGTTGCCTGTACAGTAATGTGAGAGGGCTAAGAGGCAAAATAGCTGAACTTAGACACCTACAATCACAACTGAACTCCAAAATCATAATACTGACGGAAACCTGGCTAACCCCTACGGTGGCAGACAGCGAAGTCAGTATAAATGATATGGTCCTAGTCAGGCGAGATAGGGACCTGAAAGAAGGAGGTGGAGTCGCCATATACGTCGACAAACAGCTCAGATGTGTTCACGCGATGGACCCTCCCCTCACAGAGCTCCCTGACTCCATATGGTGCCACTTCACCGTTGGGTACTGCAAATATCTAGTGGGCAGCATTTATCGATCACCTTCATGTGGAGCAGACCACAACCAGGTACTGCTAAATACAATTTCAGCAACTCAAGACATGGGTTATGATCAAATTGTCATAGCTGGTGACTTCAATGCCCCATCTCTTAACTTGGTGTCGGGAAAAGCCCATGATAGATTTGATCGAAATCTGCTGCATACCATCAGGAAGGCTGGATTCACTGAAAATGTCAAGATGGATACTAGATGGGGCCCTGATGGGAAGTCTTCTAGACTGGATTACGTGCTCACTAGTGACCAGCTACTAGTGGAAAACGTTCAGATCACGACTCCCATAGGTAGTAGTGACCACGCGGTCATAGTATTCGACATAGTCCTCCGCGAGCGCTTACAGTGGGACAATACACAGCCCTATCTGTGTTATAACAAAGCCAACTACACCAAAATGCGAAGACTTCTGTCTGAAGCAAATTGGCCTAAAAAATGGACAGAGCTAACAGTAGAAGAACACTGGAGAGTGGTAAAGGAGATCATTCACCAGGCGGTCTCAGACACTGTTCCTTTAGTCACACCAAAAGCTAGGAAGCAACGATCATGGCTAAAAGGGGGACACAACGCCTTCTGCAGGCGAAGCGAAAAGCCTGGTTTGCGTGGCGACGATCGAAGAGTCAACCCGAACATGAAGTGTACCTTGAACTCAGGAATCGATGTAACATACGAGTCCGGAGCGATAGAAGGACATTTCAGGGAGACCTCGCCAATAAGCTTCTCGTGAACCCCAAAAGCCTATACAGGTTTATGTCCGAAAGAAAACCGACCAACCAGGGAGCATGCAATCTAGTGGGTTCTGATGGGAAATCTCTTACTAGTCTTGAAATGGCAGAGACATTCAGCCTAGCCTTTCACAGGCAACTAAACAGTAACGAGGATATTACCCCCACAGAACATCCAGATTACATCGCAAAACCAACACGCGAAAACCTGCTGGGTACATTTCAAATTACCCCGGCTATGGTACTTGCAAAATTGGGAAGGTTGGCTTCGGGAAAGTCTTCAGGTTGTGATGACATCAGACCATCTGTCCTGAAGCAGTGTTCAGAAAGTCTCTGCCAACCCCTAAGTGATCTGTTCCAACACTCCCTTGATGTAGGGAAACTTCCATGTGAATGGAAACGAGCAATCCTATCCCCTATCTTCAAGGGTGGTGACCGGCAGAATGTGACCAGTTACAGACCAGTTGCTCTACTTCCAGTGATATCGAAGATATTGGAAAGTCTCATTGACGACCACATGAGAAAATACTTCGATGGGACTAACCTTCTTCACGAAGCACAGCACGGTTTCAGGAGGGGAAGATCCTGCGTGACGAATCTTCTACTAGCTTGGAACGATTGGACACTATCCTGGGACAAAAAGGTACCAGCCCACGTGATCTTTCTCGACTTTGCGAAAGCATTCGACACAGTTCACCATGGTCTGCTCCTTCACAAAATAAGCAAGGCGGGTGTTTCTGGAGCACTTCTCGCATGGCTGACAGATTACTTAGGCGAGAGAGAATTCTGCACCAAAGTCAACCGCATCCGATCATCCTGGCACACCTCGGCATCAGGGGTTCCTCAGGGTTCTATCCTAGGGCCGTTGATGTTTTTGATTTTTATCAACGACCTGCCCTCCCAACTAAACTGCTCTGCGCTTCTTTACGCTGACGACGTAAAGATTTGGAGAGCAATAAACTCATCGGAAGACTCAGATAGATTGCAGGCTGACCTGCAAACTCTGGGAAATTGGGCTCTGGCTAACGGAATGCCTTTCAACCTAAAGAAGTGCAAAGTAGTGCAACTTCATTCCGGCAGGTCACAGAGTGTAAATTACACCCTTGGTGGCCAGAACTTGAGTTGTGTTCCATCAGAGCGTGATCTAGGTCTTATTCTAACAGAAAAGCTAGACACCAGTGGAAATTACTCGAGGGACGTCGCCAAAGCCTACGCAACATTACACTTTATGCATAGGCAGCTGGGAGCTCTCACTCCCGAACTGTTCTTAAGGTTATATAAGGCATATGTGAGGCCACACCTTGAGGTGCATAATATCATTGCACCTCCGCTACTCAAAAGGGATGCTAACATTCTAGAAAGTGTCCAGAGACGAGCGACAAAATGGGTGATCGGCCTCCGCAACAAATCATATGAGGAAAGACTAAAGAAATTAGGTCTTTTCACACTTAGTTACCGTAGGCACAGGGGAGACCTCATCACCGTCTACAAGATCCTAAATGACCAGGCCCACCCAAATAAAAGCATCCTGCCATTAAGTGATTATAGGCTTCCACGAGGTAACCCGCTAAGGATAGCACACCAGAGACCAAAGACTCGAGTGCGATCACATTTCTTTTCGCTTCGTGTTTGCCGTCTCTGGAACGCTTTACCGGCGGCCGTGACTACAGCGCCATCTCTGGAGATTTTTAAGCGGAAGCTAGACAATCATGCAGAAATGCAAGGTTTGTGTCTCAATGGCTTATCCTCATAAAACTTGAAACCACACTGTCAATGATAAGCGTACAAACTAAATCCCCACGACCTATTCTGCCTTCTCTCACTCTATCTTTTCCTTAGGTCACCTTTATTATTCCACTTATCTCAACCTATATTATCTACACTACAACCCATTATTTTTATTCTTCTTATTATTACTACTATTCTGCTTTTATGACTACACCGAATGACCAACGGGAGTTAGGTCAAACTCCATTCACGGCAGCAATACAGTCCTAACATACTGCATACTACAAACCACATCTCGACCAATCCCCGCACCACTCCTCCTGGAGTCT